TGATTAGTTAGTGTACCGATAAGGCTAATATTCAATCCAGTGTAAAACAAAGAGATTACAAATTAGGGCATTAATCTGAGTTGGATCTAAGTGGGGGTTAATGAGCCTTAAATAGAGACAAACAATCAAATTAACTCAAAAAAACCATAAGGTTTCTGAGACACCTACAAGAGAATACTCTCTCTCCCTCACAAATAAACTCAAAGTATCAGAGAATCTCTCTTCGTGAACGCTTCATGTGACATGGTAACAGAGTCATGAAGTATAAAGGTATGAAAAATTCCCCAAGAACCCAAAATAAGGGAATTCAACAGGGGGACATGTGAGGTATTCCCTCCTATTGCATAATAAGCTGGTCATCATTAATTATGGCTAGCTCATTATGCGATAGAAAAAAGACACATCACCTGTCCTCCCTGTTGGTCCTATATTTTGAGTCTCTGTAGCAAATCTCTAAAGGTACAGAGGTAACAAATAGCTAGCCCCACATAGTAGTATAGTACACGGGTATACCTCTAAGACTAGGCCCCCTAGTCATCTTTATGAGATCCATACAGTTATGCCAATATCTACAGGACATGTAATGAATGAGAGCATTAAATGAAAACTGCTCTCAATTAGATCGAGGTGCTGCTGGATGCGCAAGCCCGATTCTGACCCAATCTCGCACCCAAAGTGCGTGGACCAGAAGCATACAATGCAAGGTAGTTGCAGTGGTGTTCACTGAATCACACAGGCGTATGACATAAACAACTGTCTCAAAGGATGGCCGTACGTAAATCTTCATAGCGTTGTGTGCCAATTTAATTACGTATCATAAATGATTAAGTTAAATATCACGATAAATTCTCTTTCTTTGTCGTTGACATAATCTCTCCAGTTTGTAAACTAATTCCAAACATCCTATGAATTCAGCTCAACTTTTGGGATTTGAGAGCTTCATTCCACCATATGCAAGCGCGAGCGGAGATCAACTTCTCACCGGTGTGAACTTTGCATCTGCTGCTGCAGGAATAAGAGATGAAACTGGGCAACAGTTGGTAAGCATTTAAATGTTGTAAAAAATCCAAAGAAACTCAACAGTATTTTCTTTTTCTAGCTTATTAAAAGTGAAAACATGTCGCATAAGAGAAGTTGCATGTGGAATGAAACAGCTAGAACTGCAGTCACCTCTACAAGTTCTAGTATTTTAAAGTTGTACCAAACTGTTGCTACTACACTCGCCAATAAAAATTACAACAAGTTAGTCGCACACAAGTGACAGTTGCAGACCGTCGAGGGCACCTATGTCTGTGCGACATGCATTATTAGCTCATAATGATAACCTTATTCGATGATTTCCCTCTTACAGGGGGGAAGAATAAGCTTTGGTGGGCAGGTGCAGAACTATGTACAAGCATCACAGCAAATAGTGAACATGCTGGGAGATGAAGACTCTGCTGCCGATCATCTCAGCCAATGCATATTTTCATTAGGCTTGGGCAGCAATGACTACCTCAACAATTACTTCATGCCCAACTACTACTCATCCAGTAGCCAATACTCTCCTGAACAATGGGCTGATATTCTCATTAACCAGTACTCTCAGCAAATTAGGGTCAATTTCCTTCCCCTCTCCTATCTTTCAGTCTAAAGTTTGAGTGTGTTAATTGTGGATAGACCCCCTTAGTATTTGTGTCGCAGAGGGACCCCCTAGGTGAATTTATTCGACTCTCTTACCCTCAGAGAAAGAGAAAATTGTTTCTTTACAAACAGTCCTCCTGAGGGTAAAAGCTCTAAGAATTTCACGCTGGTGGTTTATCTGCAGCAATAAAACTTAAGGGAATCTGTGCACCATTGGAATGATATATAGTACAGGGGGACTATCCAAATTAACTCTTAAATTTTTAGCCTCGAACTAGTGTTTGATACTGTTGATTCTTGCACATAGACTCTTTACAACTATGGAGCTCGAAAGGTGGCCATTATCGGTGTTGGTCAAGTTGGCTGCAGTCCGAATGAGCTAGCTCAGTTGAGCAACAACGGTGTAACTTGCATCGATAAGATCAATGAGGCTTGTGAAATGTTCAATCAGAGACTGAAACAGATGGTTGATCAGTTTAATCAGCTGGATGGAGCTCACTTCACCTACATTAATGCTTATGGGATTTTTCAGGATATCCTCAGGAACTCTGCAGCAAATGGTAATCACCGAAATTGCACTGCTCATTATAGTTACCATTGAATTTTTAGGAATTTATGTTTTGTACAGGATTAGAAGTTACGAACAAGGGGTGCTGTGGGGTTGGGAGAAACAATGGACAGATCACTTGTTTGCCTTATCAAACACCTTGCCAGAATAGGAACCAGTATTTGTTCTGGGATGCCTTTCACCCAAGTGAAGCTTTCAACATTCTCATCGGTAGGCGAACTTATAGCGCACAATCTTCATCTGATGCTTATCCTATGGATGTTCGTCGACTTGCCCAGATTTGATTCGGTTGCAGAACTCTGCCATAAGTATTGAATTGTACAAGAGGATTTTCCTATTAGAATTATCACAGTTACATGGTTAAGTACCAAATTTATCGTGTGAAGATTTCTGAAATTTATTGATATTGTTACTGTAAGACCTGAGGTTGATGCTAATTTTTGTGTAATTTGATAATTGAATTTGATATAAGATGGTTCATGGTGTCTGATATATTGCTGACTGATGTGAAGTAAAATTTTGAATACCTGAAGGAAACTAATCTAACATGTCAAACTAAGTATTTTAACATGACACTGTACCAAATTAATCCTGATCGAAGATTTTACTCAGTAAAGAATAACTTGAATATCAAGAAAAGGATGAATTGACATTGAAGAACTCATTCCAGTTCCGGTACATATTTCTTTAACATATCAGCCTTATGGTTCATCACAGTAGTTTGTATCCTCAAAAGCCAATATATATCTGTCAACAATTTTTTTCACACAAATGTAGAAAAAAAAGGAGTCATAGTTCGTTAAGCTCCCTCATTCAGTGTTTCTTTGCTTCCTTCTCAGCCTGCAAAAGGAAGTTCAGATTAGTCAATCTTCAAAAGGGTTAATTGCATATACATCCCTGTATTATTGTGGTAAGTTAGCCAATTATTATCCCTGAACTATTTTATTAGCAAATACACCCTATGACTGACCTTTTTCCCCCTTTCTGCAAATAGACCCCTAGAGTGCACCCCAAAAGAAAAAAAAATTAAAGAAAAAAGGAAGAAAAAGAAAAAGAAAAGAAAAAGAAAAAGAAAAGAAAAAGAAAAGAAAAGAAATCAGTTGGGGTTTTGTGTGATAAAATAATTCAGGGGTAATAAATGACTAACAATCCATAATAAGAAGGTGTACGTGCAATTAAAATCTAACACGATATAATGTTGAGATTCTTAGCATAATGGATTTTACCGCTTTGACAACCCTTTCAAAAGCATCAAGTCCATGTTTCTCGATATACCTCTCCACCGATTTTCTAGCATCAAGACTCATCATCTGCAACACTCTTCTCTGTTCTTCAGGGTAGCTTGTGTTGACAAATGTCCCAATCTGCACGTATTTCCTCACATAATTCTCATATATATATGCAGCTCCATTAAATGTTGGTAGAACCAACCAGAGACACACCACAAGCTTCATGTATGGCCAAAGAGGAAACCTGTCATGCATCAAGCCAATTAATAGCAAGGGAATAATTAGTTTCGTATTTCTTCAGAATTAATAGCTTAATTGAATCATACCATTGTAGGACTTTCCAAGTGGAGAGTTCAAAAAGGGTGATTAATGAATATAAGACCCAATATGTTAGCCATTGCTGGTCATCCAAAGAGGAAGGGGATTCTATCGCACGAATTGATGCATACCTGGATCATTGATCATGTAGGAAAATATTTAGTGAAATAAAAACTTATTAAAAAATTATTGAATTCATGGACATTTATGTATGGATTACTTACAGAGGATAAAGCAGCATCACTCCTGGGCTGATTGTTGATGACAGGTAAAAGAAGTAAGTGTCATCAAAATCAGGCATAACAAATAAGACATATGTAATGAAAAACTTAAGTTTATACAGACATACAAGTTCATATTGACATACTTACCCAATAAGTGCATCAAGATGCCCAGCGATGACCTTAATGACACCCATATTATCTGTGTGATTCTGAACTGGTCTTAAATCTGAGATTTTAACCTGATAATGGCATTGGAGAACTGCAGTTCCATTTGTATGAGGGACGAGGGAGACGAAAGCTAACAAGCAAAGATTAGTTTCCTCCTAAGAAGAAACAAGTAAAGAACTCTCTATGGACCTCTTACAAGACTTCTTTCCTCTGTTACCAAGAAAAGAAGGGATAAAGGAACCTAAAGAATGAAATCTATACTGTACAGCACAAGGAATTTTCTCTAGAAACTTGTTCATTAAGTAGCTTTCCGGATCAGCAATGCAAGGTCAACAGAACAAGCCAAAGCAAAGGGTACAAGATTAATATTCTTGGACACTTCCACCTCAAACTGTATAATCGATAATCCCAAATCATGAATCCATAATAAGAACATTTTTTTCCTGTTTTTATATATATCTAGCATATTATATGCCAAAAAAAAAACAATCATCTGGACATGCTTTATTCCTTAAGCCACCACCAATAACCATAGAACACATAAAAACTTTGTGCATGTTTCTCGAGAAATAAAATATCAGAGCCGGAGAGAAAAAGAAATAGATTTATTCTAGGTTCACTTTGCATTCAAAATATCAAGTTCAGAAAGAACATCGGTATCTGAAAGAACTTAAACAAAATAGTTGCATGAGGCATCTTCGCTCTTTTTCTCTTGCAGTGAGTCAGTGACCATCACACAGTTCATCACTGGGGGCCATACATCAATTTTCTTGATCATTGCAAGTTTAGAATTATGTCATATCAAGTGAATCAAGAAAATATAGGAATTGTAAAATATAGGAATTGTAGAGAATCAACTAGAACTATCTGTCAGAATGTAATAACGAAAAGATAACAAGAAAGATATAAAAGAAAAGTTTATGGTGTGAGAATGCTAACATAATAAATAACATATTACTTTACAAGCTCATAAGTTCATCACTTCACAAAATAACTTCCCTTTCATGAAAGGCAAAGAAAATCGTGGGTTACCTGATTAACACAGCTTGAAAGTGCTAGAACTTTTGCATCGTCACAACACAAGTTTAAACTCCCTAGAAATGGGAAACTAACATGATACAATAATATACATGCATGAGTTCACAAAGTTTGAACCCTATGAACCCTAAACTTGAACCACTAATAATTCCCTTTCAACAACAACAACAAAAAAAAAGGGAAAAAAAAGGAAAAGGAACCAATGCCTTTGAACTCAATGCTGTAAACTGGCACTAAAAACTGTAAATTTTTGTTGCTTCCTCTAGAGAAATTGGATTTGCACCAAAACTGGTGCCAATTTCAAAAGGTACTATTGAATGTACAGACCTGCCACTATCTGTGCAAACATCTTGGCAGAGTTTCAGTATATGCTTTGCTCTTGCTCTCAATAAGACAACTTTTGACAACCCATCTCCATGCTTCAAAGAACCGGAGGATGTTCTAAATTCATTATTTGCATCCTTGTTTTTATCAATTACTTGAAAGTTCATGCTCGTTCTTTGGTATCCATAACCCAGCAGGTTAAATGGAGGGCGTAAGTCTGAATTTTCTGTTAAATTGGACTTTTTCTTTGGTCTCGAAAATCCGCCACTTTTACCAGAGTTAGAGATCGTTCTCAACTTCCCTCCACGGAAGGCCTTTTCCTGGACAGAGTAGCATTGTATACACCTCCAAAACATGTACTGTTCTTCATCCTATTTCCATTGACAACGGAAGTAGACCTGCTTGTTGGAGAGGCTGGTATATGCGAAGGTTGAGCTACCAAAGTCGGCTTATGAGACCAAGCATAAGGATCTTGTCTGACAAATGGATCAGAACACAGAGTAGTCTTTTGGTTCCTCTGAACTTTTAGCTTTACTGGCCACTGATAGCATGGTGAGCTAACAGAAAATGGCCTGGTAAAGTTTCCATGATTATGAGTTGGAAATGAGACAGGGTAAGTTGTTGATCTATCATAACAGAGGCTTTGATTCTGTCTGCAGTTGGTAAAATTAAGTGATGGAGGCCCGCAAAATCCTGAGAATGTGATTCTGTCTGCAATATAAGACGAAGGTCTCCAATACTTGTGGAAATGCTGTTACTTGCTATGCCAACAGATCTAAATTGCATTGATGGAAGATAAAGGGAATGTGGTTCTGCTGGCAACAAAAGACTTCTTTCTGATGTTCCAAACACCGAAGATGCAAATGGTTTCTGCTGGACCTGTTGGTATTCATTACTATTTTCACCAATTATTACATCTTTTCCCATCAAACGTATAGTTGGTCTGATAGAAAGCTGAACACCGTCAGATGGAAACCTTTCCATCACACGGCAGTCATGATTTTGATTGAAACACATTGACCTGTCACAAAAATTTTCTGGATTGGAATAGCAATGTACACAGTTTAATTGATCCTTCATTTGCTTATTTCGCTGCATTTCCTGGATAGTTGGGGATTCTGTAAAATTTAATCCAGGTGTCATCTGTCTGTTAGCTTTAGTCTTCGGAATGTGACTGACAAAACTAATGTTGGTCTGAGAAAATCAGATCCTCCTTCGTTTGCTTTCCTACTCATCGCTAAGCAAGATTGCAAAGGAGCACTCGTTGTGGCCAATGGCGATGCTGGATAAGATTCGGAAATACCATTTTCAGTTGGAAAAATAGACCTTTGACCAACCGATGTCGTTACGGTGCATTGTTCTGTATTTTCACCAACAGAAGTTGAACCTTCTTCATTATTAGATTTCAGAGTCTGTTGCTTGCTTGAGTCTGAACAAGTAAAATCCCTAAAGTTGTGGCTTGAAGTTTCATTGAAAAAGACCTCCTCTGAGTCAGAATGGTTGCAAGAGGCCCTCACATGTTTCTCTTCTGCTAAATTGGTGACAACATCCTTGTGCTTTTCATTCTCCATCAAATCTCCGTCAACAGCATAGGAAATTTTATCTCCTTGTCTTGAACTATTTGTTTCTTCAGACAAAGGCAAGCCATTTTTGGATATCAAGGAAGAGTATTTCTCGTCTTTTGTCCCAGCTATGTCAACCTTACTAGAAAAGGTGACAAGCTTGGATAACTTCTCATCCTGCATCTCACCAGTTGCAGCTGCATGCTTGGCTGATGTGGTTCTTGTTTGATTCTTGCGAATTCCATAGGCAGGAAAAGTCTTTCATACGTCCTGCTGCTTAGGGATCAAATTCAATCTCTAATATCTTTGGAATTGCAGTTCTGTGTAGAATTATTTACTATTGGAAACATCTGGTTTGGATGATCAACAGGATCCACTAGTCTTCTCAAACTGGTTTTTGCATACTGACTATTTAAACAAATGAAAAGGCTTTTGCCTTTTACTCTGTACAAAACAAGAAACACACAAGATACTTGGATGAATAACACCATATTCAACTTGTTTTTGCACATGGGATGCATGTTTAAACAGTTAAGTTTGTATACAGAGGAAAAAAAGAGAAACTATATCAAATGCTCCTTTGTAATTGACGACGTTGGATTTTGTGATAGACGCGTATGCATGTTACTGCAGATAATCTAAGTTGCATGGAAACGGGCACGGGTACTAGTACGGGTGCAGGTACAGGTAGGGGACACGACAAAACTGTAAAATGTTGGGTACGAGGACACGACTACATATATATATTGAATTAATAATGTACATGAGATAATTTTTTCCGCTTCATGTGTTATTAGAATTAAAATTCGATCACATTTTTGAGTTTATTTTATCATATTGATTATCGTGAATTGTAAACTACTCATTTTTTTACTAGACATCTAAACGACTCATTAACTATATAGTTTTGAACTTGGGTATGGATTGAACGAACCCGACCCGTATCCCATTAGTTTCAAAAGACGGATGTGAAGTGTAAGCTCTACGTCCACAAAGTCTTTTGACAAATGTTTTAAATTAACACATATATCGTATAACTGAGTACATGTTGTAATAAATACATGCATATATTCAAGAAGTGTCTATGAAGTTTGGGTACGGGAAAGTATCGGGTACGGGTACAGCTTCAATAATGAAGTACCCGGGTAACATAGCAGATAATAGAATGCATAGAGATCCAGCAAGGAAGCACATATTTATTTACAATTTTTTGTAAATCACAATTAGAAATCCAAGTTGGAGATTTTAGAAGTGGAGAGTATAATAGAAAAGGAGAAAGTTTTATTTTTGTTTGTTCATGAATAAAGTGAACATGAAATATAAAATCAAACTTTAGTTGTGTACTGCCAAAAGCTTACATTATATAGTGTAGGTGTAAATTTTCATTAGAAATGTGAGTGCACATAAATGAACAGAATCTTCAAAAACCAAAGAAACAATCCTGCAAGGTAAAGCACAAAATAGTTTCTTTTTTCGTGCAGGGTGGATTTTTGTTATGGGATACACCAACTTGCACACACTCATCGATGGATGCATACATGCAACTGCATCACAATAAGACATAAATGAACAGAATCTCCAAAAACCAAAGAAACAATCCTGCAAGGTAAAGCACAAAATAGTTTCTTGTTTCGTGCAGGGTGGATTTTTGTTATGGGATACACCAACTTGCACACACTCATCGATGGATGCATACATGCAACTGCATCACAATAAGACATATATGGGATACACCAACTTGCACACACTCATCGATGGATGCATACATGCAACTGCATCACAATAAGACATAAATGAACAGAATCTCCAAAAACCAAAGAAACAATCCTGCAAGGTAAAGCACAAAATAGTTTCTTGTTTCGTGCAGGGTGGATTTTTGTTATGGGATACACCAACTTGCACACACTCATCGATGGATGCATACATGCAACTGCATCACAATAAGACATATTTAATTTTTTGTGTGTAAGAGGGATGGTGCATAAAACTATTCCTTGACACAAGCCTCAGAACCCACCAAGAAATTTCTGGTGCAGGCCATCTCTCAGGCTTACATCTAACTCTTCCCCTCTATTTAAACTATGGTTTGATTTGACAATAATACCCAGGCAAATCCCATACCAAACGAATTCTACTTGAGATCCAACTCTCTCCCTTTAAAAAAAAGATCCCTTCATCTTCCCCTGAAACCTACACTTGCTTAATTCCTTCTCGTTTTATCATTATTAGGAGCAGCAACTATGTCTTATGAATATACTCATTTCTTATCTCTCATTGTGTACCCACAAGTCTCTAGTAAAATTCTCATTTCTATTACACATTTTTTACACATGTTGTTTCTCGATT